TGACACTGTTCAAGCCCAAAAGTGTCCGACACTCACAATTCCTTTTGGCATGCATTCGGAACGAGCTGATCGTTGATGAACACCTACAATCCTTGGACCCAATTTTGAGGCACATCGTGTGGTCTTGCAACATAGCATTTCATGGAGTTTGGCCTACTTGCGGACCTTATGGGGAGGCGTTGCCGGCGTCAAAGCAACGCTTTGCCGGGCAGCTTCTGTGCGGCGGCGACAAGTTCACAGTGTTCGAATTGAAGGGAGATTGGGCTTGGCACCGAAAACTGGTTCCCCAATGGAATTCCAATTTGATGTGTTTTTTGTGCAGGGCCAGGTCTGACGACAGAAGAGGGTGCCCATATTACGAACTGGGGACGGGCGCACGTTGGGTGGCAACTGAAATCGATACCTGCACCTTCATCAATGAGATGATCTTCGACTGGCCCAAGCCAAGCAACCCAGCTTCACCCCTGTTTGATGTTCAAAAGACTCATATTTTCTAAGATTCGAACTACAAATCACAATGATTAGCTATTGCTGAGGCCCCTACATCGCCCTCTATGGGTTCAACGTGCACTGCGTGAAGTTTTGCAGCATGCATAACGTGAACTTGGGACTGTTGTTCACTTGCAACGGCGGCTCATTGATCCATGCTTGATTTAGATCGTGTTTCAAATGTCATGGGTTAGGGAGCTGTACACATGGCCATGTGGTTCATTGCTGCTTTGAACGTTCCACTTTTGAAACCATATGCACGGCTAGCCGAGGATGACCCTATTATCCCTGGGTCTTTTCGGCCCACCAGATTCCGAGCTCAAGGATCTGCTGCACGTGGCGTATTTGGACTTCAAGAAGTGGAAGAAGCAGGAAAAAATTGCCTGCACTCAAAGAAGGTTCAAACCTTCAAGTGTGGTGAAAACCAACCATGGCCACTACATGAGCTGCAAAGCCTACAATGGGAGGGTTGTCCTGGAATGGTTAAGGGATGCTACACTTCGAACATGTTCCAAGAATTTCCAGGAAGGGCGTCCTTTGGGAGAGTGGCTTAAAACAAACAATCAAGATGTACCCCAAGACGAGCGACTCCCGCTTCAAGCTGTTGCTTTGACACTTGGAAAGCCTGGTTGCGGAGTTGGTTGTGCAAATAGCTCTAACCTCCAGACCCTCCCTAAGCGCAAGCCGAGGAACAGCATGTGCAAATTCTTCGGCATCAGCGAAAGGTGCGGCCGCTACCTGATTCTTGCCTGTCATACAGCGTACCTTTCTTGTAATTGGCTTGATCCTACCCATCAAAGGACCCAGAACGACGCGGACCAAATCTATGAAGCTGGCCAGCGATTTTTGAGATACCACCTTCAACTTACCCGCATATCAACTAGGAGTGGTGTAGAGACTGACCTGGTTTGACTTGCTGTTAGATTCATGTGTGCTGGAACAGGATGCACATCGTTGCCTGGATATGCAAGCCGAAGGTCCATGCAACTTTGGCTGTGAACGTTCATTATGAATTGTTGGGATCGCATAAGAAATGTCAGGATCAAGTTTCTCGATAAGGCCTTTGACCATCAGCTTCAACTTTGCAAACGGTACCGTGTGCGACTTTGAACTGCATGTACATGTGCATCTCGTGCCACGAACATGCCTGTGGCCTTGGGCCAACGGCTTCAGACCAGGCTACTCGATCCGGCATACGCATTGCTTTGCAGAGGAAGACGCGGTTGGCTGGTGCAAACGCCTGGTGCTTGGAATGCTCATGCTGCATGCTTATTGGTTTTGTTCTGTTTTTGGTGCCTCCTTGAGGTGTAAGCAACCGGGCCCCTCGTGCTGGGAGCTTCGAAGCATGGGCTTGCAAAGTTGCAAGGGTGAGGCCGGGGGTTTGGGATTTTGAGTAGAGTCTGAGTGGCTCACACACTTGATGTGAAGGTTGGTGGCTGCAAAGCAAAGGTTCCATAGGACTGCCCTGATCTTTCCTTCAATACGAAACTGGCCGAGCTAGTTGCCACTACGCGAGGATCAATGTGCGCCAAGCCTGGCGTCGCTGAGCGACTGGCGACCAAGTAGCTGTGTGATCAAAAAAGCGTGAATTGGCGTGAATGAGCGTGAAAACCGGGGACCCCAGAAAGCTAGGTCCTCGGACAACGACCTCGCTTTCCTGGGCCTTTGGAAGCCTAGGGCTACACTTGTACTGAAAAGTTGCGACTGTTGTGCCGGAGCTGCCAAAGTGTATTTCCTTTACTGTGCCTGTGCTGAAAAGTTGCGACTTTCGAGCCGGAGCTGCCAAAGTGCACTTCCTTTACTACATTTGTACTGAAAAGTTGCGACTTCCGAGCCGGAGCTGCCAAAGTGTACTTCCTTCACTACACTTGTGCTGAAATGTTGCTACTTCCAAGCCGGAGCTGCCAAAGTGCACTTCCTTTAGTACACTTGTAATGAAAAGTTGCGACTTTCGAGCCGGAGCTGCCGAAGTGCACTTCCTTTACTACACTTGTATGCCAGAGTGCTTTTAAAGCTCCTTATAAAGTCCTTATCAAGCTCCTTATGAAACTCCTCATCAAGCTCCTAACAAAGCTCCTTATAGAGCTCCTTATAAAGCTCCTTACAAAACTCCTTACAAAGCTCCTTATGAAACTCCTTATAAAGCTCTTACAAGGCTGCTTTTAAAGCTCCTTATAAACCTCCTTATAAACCTCCTTATAAACCTCCTTTTTTTCTTCTTACAAAGCTCCTTTTCAAGCTCTTCATTATGATCTTTATTTGGCTCCTTACAAAGCTTTTTATAACATTGGCCCGCAGAATCTACAAAGTTATTTTCACCGGCTCGGGGAAAGAATCCCTAGAAGTTATTTTCATCAGCTGGGAAAAGAGTTCCGGGACAGCATCCCCAGAAGTTATTTTCACCGGCTGGAAAACAAGTTCGGGGACAGAATCCCTAGAAGTTATTTTCATCAGCTCCGGGACAGAATCCACAGAAATTATGTTCACCGGCTGGGACAGAATCCCTAGAAGTTATTTTCACCGGTTGGAAAACGACTTCGGGGGCACCCTTCAAAAGCTCCTTATAAAGCATTTTATAAAGCTTGTAATGACCATTCAGCTCCTTATAAAGCTCCTTACAAACCTCCTTACAAAGCTCCTTGTAAAGCTCTTTATTAGATCTTCTTATAAGGCTCCTGAGAAAGCTAATTATAACATTTGCACGCAGAATCCCCAAAGTTATTTTCACTGGCTGGAAAACGAGTTCGGGGACAGAATCCCTAGAAGTTATTTTCACAAGCTGGAAAACGAGTTCCGGGACAGAATCCAAAGAAGTTATTTTCACCGGCTGGAAAACATCCCTAGAAGTTATTTTCATCAGCTGGAAAACGAGTTCCGGGACAGAATCCGCAGAAGTTATTTTCGCCGGCTGGAAAACGACTTCGGGGGCTCCCGTCAAAAGCTCCTTATAAAGCTTGTCATTAAGCTCCTTACAAAGCTCCTTACACAGCCCTTATAAAGCCCCGTGCAAAGCTCCTTGCAAAGCTCCCTACAAAAAGCTCCTTGAAAACTCCTTATAAAGCTCTTACAAGGCTGCTTTGAAAGCTCCTTATAAACCTCCTTTTTTCGTTACAAAGCTCCTTTTCAAGCTCTTCATTAAGATCTATTTGGCTCCTTAGAAAGCTTTTTATAACATTGGCCCGCAGAATCCGGAAAGTTATTTTCACCGGCTGGAAAACGAGTTCGGGGACAGAATGCCTAGAAGTTATTTTCATCAGCTGGAAAACAAGTTCCGCGACAGAATCCCCAGAAGTTATTTTCACCGGCTGGAAAACGACTTCGGGGGCACCCTTCAAAAGCTCCTTATAAAGCTCATCATGAAGCTCCTTAAAGCATTTTTGAAAGCTTGTCATAAAGCTCCTTATGAAGCTCCTTACAAAGCTCCTTTGAAGCCCTTTACTAAAGCTCCTTACAAAGCTCCTTTTCAAGCTCCTGTATAATGCTCCTTATAAAGCTTCTTATGAAATTCCTTTTTAACATCCTTACAGAGCTCTTTTTTAAGCTCCTTATCAAGCTCCTTATAAAGCACCTTGTAAAGCTTGTCATAAAGCTTGTCATAAAGCTACTTATAAACCTCCTTACAAAGCTCCTTTTAAAGCTTCTTTGTACAGCTCCTGAAACTTCCTTTGCTACACTTGTAATGGAAAGTTGCGACTTCCGAGCCGGAGCTGCCGAAGTGACTTCCTTTGCTACACTTGTACTGAAGAGTTGCGACTTTCGAGCCGGAGCTACCAAAGTGTACTTCTTTTATAGTTGCTCACATAGAGAAAGCTCCACTCCCCGAGCCGCGAAAGCCGGCGTAAGGGCGAGCGAAAGGGACTCTGTTTACTTGCAGCGGCACCAACACTTGTTGTTTTAGCGATTTTGCAGCTGCCACAGCAGCACTTTGATGAGCTTCGTTGGTCGTGAGGGCAACCTCGAAAACGCATGGTCAGAGTCAGACATAGTCAGACGCAGTGGAATGGCAACGCGCGCTGTTTGGCAGCACTTTGTTGAACTCTTTGCACACTTTGGTGGGTCGACCAAGACAAGGCCGAACAGCGGGACGGGCGAATTGACAGAACGCGGGGCATCTGAGCGCAAATTGCCGTGCTTTCCTTAGGCACCTCTTTGCCCTGTTGATACAGCCAGGATGTGTGTACCGGGCCCTTGCCGTGCTTGACACGGACTGCAAGATGAAACCCATAGTTGGGAATATTGTTAGGGGGCAATGCGCCTGTGGCCCTTCGGGCCTTGGGCCGGCTGGCTTTGGCTTGCGGGTGTTGGTTGCCGATTCAAGAATACCCCTTAAACAAATACATTCGGGCCAGCTACACGATTTTGAGGATCCTTGCCACTCACGTCGCATCCTTTTCTAGAGCCCTGAAACCAAGGGGGCGTGCGCTTGTGTCCTCTTTTCGGAACCCTGGTGGACTTCATCTCTCTTTTCCGGGCTGCCGGGCTTCTGGGCTTCCGCTCCCGGCTCTGGGCAGGCGGTGCTGCTCTCCTTCGCCATGGCCGGGTTTCTGCCCGGGGAGGTGTCGCTGCTGGAGCAGCGGCGCCAGCAGCTGGCCACCCAGGCCGCCGCGATTTGTTTTCTTTTTTTTTCGGGCGCGGCGTTGGTCATTTGGACGGCGCCCTGGGGGGGAGGGGTGCTTTTGCAACCAAGGAGGTTGCAAAATAGACCCTGAGTGTCCACCATAGGGGGGGGTGTTTGACTGGAAGGGAAACGCGGAGGAAAACCGAAGCCGGAAATTGGGGGGGTCCGCCCCTGTTTCGGCACATATTCGGGGGTCCACCCCATGTTTGGCGCAGAATTGCGCAATTCCTGTGCGGGTGTCCCCTCTTAGTAGGAATCCGGATCACTTTTGTGGGGGCTCCCCCTTACTGAAAATCAACCAAAGGAATGGTTATTTTGTCCCATCATTTTCCTTTGTTTTTTCCGCTCAAGCTCACCCCACACAAAGAAGGTGCCCGTTTTTGTCTCATTGTCACCGGCGCTCTTGTTTGGCTTCAAACCATGTCCTGATTTGGCAACCAAGGGCATCCTTCAATCACTTGAAGGAATTGGGATCAGTTTTTCCTGGGCGAAGTAACAAATCATGACAAACATTAGGTTTCTATGATGATGTCTTAGCTTGGTTTCAAGATGTCACACAACCACATTTTCTAGTTATGTCGGCCCTTCTAGTACATGTTTGCGCAGTGGTTTGCAAAGAGCATGGCGTGCCTGCTTGGGGTTAGCGTTCCAACATCTGTGGTTCAACTCAAAGGGGTTTCACTTTTGCATTGATCAGTGCACATCTTCTGGGACCTCGCAAGGGGCACTTGACTTGGAGATCCAGGTTTCGTGTGTGTGTGTGTGTGTGCTGGCAGTCACCCAGTCCCCGGCCAGGCTGCAGGCCTGGAGGCGACCGGGGCCGGCCGGTCCTTTCCAATCTGGAGGCCAGGCAGGTTCTCGCGCATGCCGGGGGCTTGGGCATTCAACTTGCGGGAAGTCCCGTTTAGCTTCTTAATGGGTCCTGTTCTTGCTTGGCTCCCCGCTCATAGTGGTCTTCCGCAAAAAGGGGGGTGCAATTCTTGTTCAACCAGGGTCACTGGGCAACAGGAACCACTCCCTTACACATGCGCTTCTGAAAAAGGGGTCTACTGCTTGTTTGGTTGTTCAAACTGCTTTTGCCCAATTGGAAGCCTTCAATCTCAATGATGAACATCGTGATTTGCAATACGGGTGTGTGAGTTTTGTGAGGGTACCCTTTTCAGGTTGGAAACCCCACCATTTTGGAGGCCCCCTCAATTTTGACACACATATCCAAATGTTTTGCATTTAATTGGGGTACCCCTGCTAGCTTTGCAAGAGCCTTTTGTTTCAACCATGGTTGCCAACAGGCTGCCACGATTGGTTACAAAGGTCGGGTTGTTCTGCTCCGCTTTTCATCCCAAGGTTGCTTAGCTTTCGAGGCGTGACTTGCAGTTGGTATTCTTGGCTGTGCCCCCTTGGAGGTTGCAGGTTGCCCCTCTGAAAAAAAGCATGAAACAACAAAAAAGCATTCTCCGGCGCCGACCGACACGCGGCCAGGATACTGATGGTTTGCTTCCTCGTCTTCACATAGCCGCCCTCGCGGTCAGCTCAAGCCGACGTCCGCACCCGCGACACTGGCGGGAGACGACGGCGGGATGGGGAGGCGCTGCGACTGTGACCCAGCACCCAGCAGCAAGCGAATGCAAGGCCACGCCAGGGCGCCAGGCCGGCTGCGTCCGAAGGGCCGATTTGGCGCCGTCGGCTTTGCGCTGAAATTGGACGCTTGCAAGCCGAGCAGTTCGAGAAGGCGACTTGAAGATGCGCAAGGCACTCAAGCCTGGAAGATGCGAGCGGGAAAAGGCTGGAAGAGCCGCTTGAGATTGTGTTTGATGGCAATTGGCGAGCATATTTAGCACTCACAAAGATGAGTACGTGCGGTTTATACCATTGAACCATTGAACCAATTCTCAGCGTGAGCGAGAGAGCGCTCATTTCGAGAGAATCCCAGGTAACGGCGTCATCACAGCACATGAGAAGGCGCGGTCTTCAAGCGGCATGCGTTCCCAAATGCAAGGCGTTTGGTACCAGTTGTCCCCTAGGTACCGGATTTCCCCGAAATCTGCACGGACATCTGCATTCGCACAGGGGGTAACACCACACCTGATCTGACGATCCCTTACTCTACCCAGATGTTCGACGCTGACCTTTCTTGACCAGTTTCATACTTGGCCAACTTGTAGTCAGCGGTCATACGTATCGCACGCTCTTGAAGACTTCGGGATTGGTCACAGCATGACAGAAACCTTAGATACGAGTGGTTGCTGGACTCACAAGGTTCCATGCAAGAACCAGCAGACAGGTTCTATGTTGAGACGATCCAGCCAAGTCCGTGGTTGAATTAGAAAACCCGTGGCAAGTTGACGGCAATGAGGCCTAATTGCATGGAAATGATTTTGGCATATTACAAGCACCAGCGAGGTCTCAGAATGTCGACTCCTGATTGATGTGGACTCCAGGTACATGCTCGATCCCTCCCCTCGCACTAGGCTTGCGCCTGGATGCAGTCCGTCCAGCTGCTGATGACTTCTCCTGCGATCGGCCTGCGCGCTTGGCCTTCGTCGCTTCGGCAGGTGTTGCACATCTCCAGTTTGCACCTGAGTGCTTCTTCATTTTGCAGGGGGGTTCCCCGCAAAACAAACAATCAAGCCCCCCAAAACGGGTGACATTTGTCCAAGGAAATCCACGGGAGGCCTGGCTTCGCAGAGGGTAGTTACTTGCACTGTGTGTTGCGCAAGGGAAGCCAAAGGCGTCCCCACAATTTCGAGCGTCCCGGGTTTTCACCAGCTTGGGGTTGGAGGGGTCAGCTAAGTGACAGAAGTGCTCTTTATGGTCTTGGACATTTGTGTTTAACTAATGGGTCAGGTTTTTTCAAGGGTGGCAGCCAATCATTTTGTTGGTTGAAAAGGACACCAAAAGGAAACCAGCCGTTGTGGGGGTTCCGTATTTTAAGACATACCCAAATTGAACGCAGCTGGACCGTTGGATGCAGTTCCTCAGTGCAGCTAGACAAACTGTTCCTGCTCTTGTTGCGAACTCTTGGCAAACCGAGCTCACCCATGATACGGGCCCTCCGAAGGCCTTTCTGAGGGAGGAACGCAACAGCTCATTTGCCGGACCGTTGGTTTTCCATTGGCACAAGTCGCTTTTTCGTGATGTCCCACGTCGCTTTTTCGTCGCAAGGTTGGGACCCCGTGGCCTTTGGCGCGAGCCTCGGAGTTTCGGAGTTCTCGGGCAGCCACAGTTTGGTCTCATATTTTTGCCTGGCGAATGGAAAAGCTCAGTTTGCTGTGGGCAAAAGGGGCTTGGCAAAGTTGTGTTTGACTTTGACAGTTTGTCAAGCACCGAAGCCCGAAGTGCCTTGCAGGCAAAGGCGAAGCCAGCTCAGTGCAGCATGTCTTGTCCCGTTCCTCCTCTCGCCTCATCGTCCATGCAGGGGGCACCATCGCCGCTTGCCGGGAGGCGGGCCATTGCCACCTGCTATCAAAAGGTTTCATGCATTGCAACTGGTGCGGAATGGGTTTTGTCCTTCCACAGAACGTATGGGCTATGTTGCAAGAGTTTCAACGCTCCAATGACAGCACCAGTCAGCATGCATCAGAAAGGCAAACCCGGATCAAAAGTTCCATAGCTGCATCTTCTCGGGCATGGGTTCTGGAGGTCTAGAGCTATATGGCTGCGGGTCAAAACATTAACCAAAATGACACCTTGGCAAATGAAACCAAAGACTAAAACCTGCGTAGCCCCAGTTGTTTAATTTGAGTCACAACCATATATCACTTTCCTCCCGGGTGTGTGTGTGTGTGTGTGTGTGTGTGTGTGTGTGTGCGTGGGTGCGTGGGTGCGTGGGTGCGTGTGTGCGTGTGTGCGTGTGTGCGTGTGTGCGTGTGTGCGTGTGTGCGTGTGTGCGTGTGTGCGTGTGTGCGTGTGTGCGTGTGCGTGTGCGTTTGTGTGTGTAGCTTTGATCCTCTGCGCGTTTCGGTCAGGGCTGGCGGCGCTCCATGCAGCTCCTGTCTTCCATGCGTAGCAAGCGCACACCGCCCGACGTGGCCCGGCACTCGGGATGCAGTTTCACCGAACTCGGGGTTGACTCGTTGCCTTCCCTTTTCAGGTCCCTTTCTATATACTTACATTGTTTTATCCAATGGTGGAGAGTTCCAATATGCAACTTTTCACTTGCGCACTGTAAAACGACACTACCCATGACACCGGTTTGTTCTTTGGGCTGGGTGAACCTGCGGGTTTACAGTGGTGTTATGTCCTTGGTGCCCCATTCAGCGCCGCAGTTGCTAGTCCTGTATGTCTTTTCTTTGCCGCCCCTTTTGCTCACACACACACTGACATATATATATATATATATGTGCATAGAGAACATATTAGCGTTTTTCTGTCTTCCTTGTTTGGCTGGCTGATTTTGCAACATGTCAACGCCTGCGGGGGAGCTGCCATCCCAGGTGGCCTGCAACTCTGCCCTGGGCGCCCGGGCGCAGTCCGCAGGCTGGGAGGAGGCGCGCGCGCCCCGTCCACCCGATCGCCCACTTCCCGAACGGGAAGAAGGTATTGGTGCTCAGTGGGGAATGAAAAATGGAATGACCCCAAGAAAAGCCGTCCAACTGGTGGTTTCCTCATTTAAGGGAATCCCTAGTTTCATTCCCACATTCCCTACTGAGTATCAGCAAGTATTTGATATCCTGGACCTAGCGTGCCCCGAAAAAAGGATTCGTCTTAGTGGCTTAGCCAGCTGGCGTGGGTACCGGGGGTGGGGGCATGCCTGTTTTTCCTCAAGGGCTGACGTTTGTAGATGTCTTCGACGTTCTTGGAAGGACATTTCATTAGAACATGGGGAAGCCATTCGGTTGCAACAAAGAGTCGAACAGGTTTCGGATGTTCAAAGCTTTACTTTGCAGTGTTGTGCCCATCAGCCGCCCAACATCAAACTTGGAACCCCCCTTCAAGGAGGGGACATGCAGATCAAGCACTACTTCAAGCAGTGGAGAACCTTGAGCACGTTGACCCCAAAGCCCCTTTCTCACAGCTAGCCTTAGGGCCGGACTCCCGAAAACACCAACGCCCCAAAACATCACCACCCCCAACACTTGAAACGTCAATGTTCTCGAACCTTTGGACAAAACGGCACCATCCTTCCAGGCGGAGCATTTGCTTTGGAACCTGCCAGCCGAGCAGCCCTCGCTGGTGACGCTCAATGCCTGCCAGCAGCTCAGGCAGCCTGCTTTGGCCTCGCCAAGAATTGCGATTTCGTCCTTTGGCAGTGGCGCCGGCTGCAAGCATGTTCGAAAGTTCCCAGCCGATTGGGGGGGTCTGTAAGATACTGGCTGGCAGGCTAGATGACCCACCCAAACAACAGGTTTGCGGAACACCCAACATCTTTGGGGGAATTCAGAAAAAAAAAAACAGCCAACTCCCCGCGCTCTGCAGAGGAACCCCATGTTCTGGTCCGCAGAACAAGTCTGGCAGGGGGTTCGTACTGCTGGGTTCCCATGTACGTGACTGAGCATATGGCAAGCCGTAGAATGTGTGAATAGCATAGCTGGGACAACTTTCAGCTGGGATCCGGAAAATTAGGATGCCCATGGATGCCCCGTTTTGAACCCAAACGTTCCCAAACTCAGCTGGCCACGCGCGCGAGGGAATCCAAGCCAAACCGAATGGTTCGGGGACGGCTGCGCGCACACAGCTGCCCAGGCCTGAGCGGCAGCGCCAAGGCGGGGTACTCTTTCGACGGGTTTGGAGAGTCAATTCTTCGGTGCATGTTGCTTGGATGTTAGGACGTTAACTTTTTGCAAACTAATGGGTTTTCCATTAAACCACCAAAAGTTAGACTTTTGGCTGGGGAGCAGAAAGCAACCGAGAACTGTTTGTCAGTACGGGACCCCCCTAGCAAAATGGGGTGTTCCTTTGGTGTCTCTAGGCAAGAAAGACACCCGCTTGGCACAGCCTCCATTTGGAGGCAGCAGCTCAAAAGGGTTTTCTCCAGAGTAGAGCGACGTCCGACTGTCGGTCCAAATGGCCAACCAAAAGGTGATAGAGGTTTCCCCAGTTCTCAGTGGCCCCCGTATTCCCGTTTTGTTTGATGGCTTCCCCACGAGCAAATAGCCAATGGGCTCCCTTTTTGCTACCAGATGCTCCCCCCATCCAGCTGCTTGTGAGAGGCGCGGGAGTGGAGGCGGCCCTTGAGCTTCTTGCAGGAGGCCGATGGCCGAAGGGATGGGCTGGTCTTTGGAGCGGCCTTCGCCCTGACCTTGTGGACATGAAACGGTTTTGGCCGTTGACAGGGGAGAAGCAACCCCCCCTTTTTTTTGGGGGGAGGGGGGTGACGGGTGTGTGTGTCCGGGTTTTGCTTGGACACGCAGGGGCTTTTCCCGTATTCGAGGGTCATTATTCATGGAACTTGCTGCATGGATTTCCTTGACTGGCTCATGTACTGCTGACATGCATTTCGGTAGGTATAAATCAGCGCTTTTTCTGTCGCTGGAGCTTTGGGCAGGGCACTCAGCCTTTTGGAAGCCCAACACCCCTACCCCGACCTGAGAAGGGCTCCTGGCTGACGGTTTGGCTGGCACATTTCCGGACCCCCTAATAAAAGGCCCTAGCTAAATTGCAAGTAATTACATCATTTCTGTAGTTATGACTCATTTTGCTTCAAACGCATCCCAACATTTTTCCACCCTGGTCTAAGTGTCCAGGCCCTTGCATTGTGCAGGGTTCAAGGTTCACACCTAGAACCAAAGCTTGATTGGGCCATGGAGCGTTGCCCGATCAGAGCTGCCCAGAATTCTTCCTTGGTGCTTGCTACCAGGTGGCCAGCGCTTTCTGCTGCGTAAAAGGTTTGTTTTCGGCCCCGCCAAGACTAGCCTTCCATTTTACCCCCAAACAAGAGGGCAAGAGGCAAACCTCGTCTCCTTGTCTCAAGCTTTTGTGGCACATCGGCTCGAGGTCAAGCAAGGAATGTGGCGAGGCTAGTTAGGCCCGGTCGGCATGGGCGGCTTCTACCAGGGCAAGGGCGGCAAGGGGGCGGCAGCGGCGGCCGCTCCTGCTGCTGGGGAGGGGCTGCCTGGAGGACCGTTGTGGGACACTGTTGATGTTTGTTCCCCATGCGGCAGGTCTGGAGGTGTTCAAAAGTGACTCATCTATGTTCATCTCTGTTCTCTAAGAAGGAGTCATGATTCAAGCATTGATTGTCCATTACACAACAGCTACTCGCTAGTTTTCCTTCATTGTTGTTGTGCAGGTGCTTTCAGTGGCTCCAATCGCTCAAGCGAGTTCAGTCTCGTACCCTAGCAGATTTAACGCAGATTAACATGGAACATCATGAGATGCCTTTCTAGAGGAGTCTCCTTTTGGGGTCCCCCTTGTGCTAAGTTCCGCGTCCCTTCTTTTGCAGGGGAGCAGTCGGGCCGTCGCGAGGACTGAAGCGCAAGCTGCAGGCCCTGAACTACCCCGAGCTAAACTCAGCAAATTTGGGCGGCCAGGCGTACCAGAAGATCATCTTGTGGCTGGAGGACCCGCTGTGCAATTGGGGTCACTTGTATGCAAGGTGCCCTTTAGTTCAGAACCTGCGACTGTTTTCGAGGTTCGCTTGAATAGAAAGCGTTTTTGCCGGGGAAAAAAAGAGAGGAACACACGGGCCAAGCAAATCCAGGCAAAACAATAATGGCCATCGATGTTACATAAACTCCTTTTAAACAATCAAGGCCAAGCAGTCATGCAAAGGGGGTTTAATCTATCTGTTTTCGTGGTTCACTTTAATGTGTCCAGCTTCTTCAAAAACAAAACATGTGGAGCGGGGTTGGGGACATTGCCAGATCAAAACCTTAGTCTTCTACTCTCAAAGGGTGGGTTCATCCTGAGCTCTTCCCAGCTCACCAAAGCTTTAGCAATACTAAGTTTGAATGGCAAGACTAAATTCTCTTGGAAGGGGCTAACAAATATTAATCTTCCGGTTCGAGTTTCAGAGCCAAGCTTGCCGCTTCCTCAATATGCGGGCCGTTTTTTTTTTTTTTTGGGGGGGGGGGCTTAAAAGGTGCATTGGCTCTGGCTGCTTGTAGTCCTTGTGCAGCTCCGACGCTGTGCGGACATGACCGGAATGTTCCTGCTTGCCTTTTTTCTTTTCATTTGGGTGATGTGGGCCCTTGTTCACCGCCGGCCTTGTCTCTTGTTCCGGTTTTGCCCGATCAGGTCCTTCGAGCAGGGTGCCTATGGCCCACCAAAAAGGGGGGCCCTGGGCGGCAGTCGGCCGTCGGCAGGAAGAGAAGATCCGGCTCTACGAGAAGATCGACCGCGCGGCGCTGCGCAAGTTCGACAAGACCTGGTTCGAGGCGCGGGGCCTCGATTTAAATCCAGTTGCGGGGCCGAAGGGCTGCCGGGTGCCTGTGACGACATCTTTCTGTGGGCGTGCCTGGGAATCCCACAAAAAAAAGAGAAACAAAACGGGATAACGTATATAGTCGTGGGGAATCAACCACTTGGATATCACAAGATTCATTTCCCGCACGAGGCCTCACTGGGCGTGGGTGACGTTGATGCCTAGGTCATGTTAGGGCTCTGGCTATGGACTAGGGAGCAGGATGTGGGGGTTGCTGTATTCCAAAAGAAGGTTCCCCAAAAAAGCACTGTTCAGTTGGTCAACTGAGATTAGAGGAAAACCACATTCAGTCTTTCTTTTCTTTCTTCCTTCGTTTTTTTTTTTGGGGGGGGGAGGGGGCGGTCCACTCAAAGCACTGCACCCATACTTGTTGACCTGACGTGCTCTAAGCATTTCTCAGGCCGCAGCCAAGTATGCCACCGAGCTGGGCGTCCCAGCGGAGGGCCTGGCAGAGAACGCCACCAAGGCGGGCGGTGTGTGCAGGTACTTCCCCCAGTAGTGCCCTTTTTTGGGGGAGGGTTCCGCTACTAAAATAGACCAAAGAGAAAAGGGTACCCTTATTCTAACCTATCCACTGGAGGACCTAGTTCAGGTAACCCCATAACGCAGAAGTATATAGCTTATGGTTAGCCAATGTGACCAGGGTTCGATCTGAAATGGGGGAGCCGCTCAAACAGGTGTGTCTTCTGGCTCCCCCCTTAAAAGCCGTCCAAAAGGGGGTTCTCCGATTTAGGAAACCCGCATATGGGCATGAGTCCAAGGAAGCTTGTGCGGGTTGACCCCAAAAGAATGCCAATGTGAGGACCCCTACTCTTGACACAAAAACATATGTTCTGCTCGAATGGTCGGATAATGTCGGGGCTGTGGATGAAGCGCCTTTCAGAGGGTGCCTGTTCAACGCTCATGGCCCCTGAAAAAACTCACGAATAAGGCCCAAGAGGCCAAGCCTCGACAAAATTCACATGAAGCCTAAACGGAGTCCCAAAGGAGATTCCTTGATAGAGCCCAGCAATAGCCAAACCACAATAGACAAACGGTATTGGCCCCTTTTGTTTGCCTTTGTGCACAGTTCTACCCTTCTGATATGGCCTTTGGAGAGCTCCGTGAAATGCTCGCTCATCCCTCAGGTCAAGCTGAACGTTCTGAACGGCCTTACCAACCTGGCGGCCTTTTGTTTGCAAGAGGCACCAAGCAGGTCACCGAGGAATTTGTTTGAGAGGCCTCTCCTTGAAAAGCACGCATCTTCCTTGTGATTCTCACTGGGGCTTCTCGGTCAATTAGCCAACGATTAGGCTTGAAGGCTTTTTCAGAAGATTGATTCACTGGGTGATGAACATATCAGACCGCCTTGGTGGTTTGCTTTCCTCTCAGGAAGTGGGCATTCAACAAGAGATCAGCGCCCAAGGCAAACTTTCTTGCGGGCAAATCTCGATCTCTTCTTTGCGAGGGTGGCTGCTTGGGCAAACAAACTTGCGACCTCACTTACAGGATTTCTTCGACCATGGGCCCCAGGACTCATATTTCACAATTTCTTGGGGCCCGTGTCTTCTTCCAGGGGACAAGCTACAAGTCACCCAGACTTGCTCAAAGGGCCGTCGACTCCAGGGCTGCTGCGAGCGGCCAGCTTGCCAAAAAAAGGGAGGCGACCTGCACTCATTTTTGGTGCACTTGCACTGCACAAGCAGCGTCAGAAACGGACTCCTTTTTCTTGCTTCGAACATGGGAGTTGGTTTCCGTGGTAATACGGTCATGCCAGACTGCACGGTCGTCACGGTGTCATCCCTCCTTCCCGCTTGCGGGACAAATGTATGTTGGAAGGGCTGTTTAATTCGAAATGAAATAGTTCGTTTGGACCAATTCGATTTGGAGTTGGCCTGGCCAAAAAAAGGAAAGAGCTGCATATGTTTTTTGTTCAACGCCGTAAGTGTTGTTTGTTTGCCCGTTGTTGCTTTTGTTGACCCCGTGTTTTGTTTTCAGACCCCCCACATGTAACAAGGAGGGCTTGCATAAGGCGTGTTTTTTCCTCAAATACATGGAGAATGGATGGGCTTTTGGGGCATTTTGGGGGTTCCATGGTCACACCAGGGTCAAAGCTGATGGCGCAATTCCCTGTATGTGGGCAAAGGGGATGACCAAATCATGGTTGGCATTCTGCCAAGTCCCACCCGGTAGGTTGCTTCGCCGAGGTGAATGACATCTACCGGGACCAGGATGAGGCTGGGCAGCTGCAGGATGCGGTGCCGAAGGGCGGCGCGGCCTTGGGGCCCAAGCAGCGGCTGCAGGAGCTGCTGCCGGCGCTGAACCGGATGCTCGGGGTCTTCTCCTTGCCGCAGCTGCCAGAGGCGAGTCAGACAAATTGGACAGGATCTCTGCACAAATTTTGCCGCTGCAAAAGCAACGCTTAAAGACTTACTTAGTCCGAACATTTGAGGTTGGTCAACGTGTCCGGTTCATGGTTGATTGGAAAGGGGCGTGGCTAAATTTATCGTCAATAAACCAGAGGGGCGTCAAACATACTATGGTTTTTTAAAAGGCGGACCCTGCTGCCGCCTTTTAGAGGGAGGACATTGACAACCCCCCCCCCCAGTCTGGGAATCTGGAATTCCCCTTGGGCGCGTTTCTCGCGAGTCCGCGCTGGACTCTGACACTTTGGCGGCGCTGCACTGCGTGCTGGTGCGTGTGGCGCCGGCGCACACGGATGAGCCCACCATGGATCTGCAGAGCCTGCCCGTGGGGCTGGAGGTGGATGATCCCGAGGCGAGGGGATGGGGGGATGGGGGGATGGGGGTGACCGCCCGGTTTGCCAGGACAAGTGACTAAAAAGTGAACATGTGAAACACAGTCACAGGGGCACATGTCCGCGTAAATGTTATTTAAATTTACCAAGAAGGGGTTGGTGTGTTTTCTGATTTGTCCAGCATATGATCTCGTTTGAGATTCGAATGTCAAGGTTTTATTGCAGCTACAAGTGGGTCAGTCTTTCAGAGGCATTGTGTCTGCGTGCGGACCCTTGATCCGCTCCGCATTTTTTTTGCCTGCTAAGTACCCCATCATTTTCCATGTCACCCAGTGAAGCTTTGCTTCTCACCTGGTTGCCCTTAAGCCATCCTCAGAAAGTTGATTCAGTTGTTTTCCATTAAAATACGCATTTCTCCAGGCCCCAGGGCCGCCCCAAACCCAGAACTGCATTGATCCCATAGCCGAGGGAACAGGCAACAGGCCTTGCATCAAAGACTCCCCGCTGCTCCAATGCCCCTCTCACCAGACTCTCGGGATTTGGGGGTCAGATCCCGGAGGTGCGGAAGGCTGTGGCGGTGCTGCGGCTGCTGCACGGCCTGGATCTCTCGCAGCTGCAGGTGAACATCAACACCGCACCTTGGCTGACGAGCTGTTCGGGTGTCTGGGTGTATTTGGGTGTTTGGGTGTGTGTTGCCTGAACGTGCGCGAGGCAGGGAAGGGTCCCCAGGTTTTGCTTTGAGTTGCTTAAGCACCTTTTGGGTCGTTTGGAGTGAGCTATCATGTGGCGGGAAAGGGGAAGTGTAGGGAATCCAACCCAAAGATGCGAACATGTAGCATCCATAAGTAGCCCTAGTGATGATGGGGGGTTTAGACCAGCCACTAATTGAACCGGGAAGCCTCACCCGCAGACCCCCATCGCCGCACTACATTCCCGCCTTTGACAAGGATGTCTTGACAGGGAGAACAGGACAGCCCACCAGTATCAATCTGACTTGCGCCTCAAGGGTTTCCCTTTGCTTTGCTGGCAAAAGTCGTGGACACGGACCGCGTTCTTCGGCAGATGAAACCCAAAGTTGCCGGAATTGTGAACATATGTGTGTGGGGACAGCGTATTTTGTGGAGTTTGGAGACCAAACAAGGAAACCTGCAAAAAGGTTTGTTCCGTGAAGTTCCGTGTTCTTGTTTGATAGAAGCCCTTGTCCGCCGCACTGGGAGCCAAGGTGATCAACGAGTTGCAGCAGCTGACAGCAAATCCACAGACAGATTCTCGGCTGGGGCGCATCGGGCGCTAGTTGCCAGGATTTGTCTGGAGAGGATTTAGTCCCTGCGGCATTGTAGATAGTTACGGCTGGGCCATCCTTCCGCAGTGGGCATATCTGTCTGAATGACGGGACGTGACTGATACTGCAGAGGCATGTGAGGACAGAAGATATTCCCTGAGGAGATGGTCATTTAAGGACAGCAGGATACCTGGTGAAAGACATGCAGTGCCGGTACAAAAAGGCTCTTGCTGGTGATTTTAGCTGCGACCATATGGCTGAAAGACCGCGAGGGAAGCCGTGCTTTGCCAGGCGCCTCAGTCGCTGGAGCTGGCGCCTGACGCGGCGGCCTAAGGCGGAAGGGAAGTTCTGGGCTTCTTAATACGGGTGCCCGAAATCGGCGTGTCTCTTATGGCTTCCCTTTCGAAAGGGGCACCCGAAGGAACCCCTCTATTTTGGGGCTCCCGGTTTGAGGAAACTTTTTGCGGTTTACTGCGATATACTGAAATACTACCCTGCAGTTAGATTAGTTGGGAAGCCCAACGAGGGCTCCCCAAAAGGATGATCTTCCTTTTGAATGGCCTACGCCTGGGCGCTAGCAGAGTAGCAGAAACATGGCTCCTTGAGGGAAGCAACAGGGGGATACATCTGCCCGTTCCTGGCAGACAGAATCCCGGCTTCCTACTGGAAACACCTTTAGATCTCGGTAAGGACTCAGCAGCACACCTGTGAGCGCGGGCGGGTACTTGGAGGAGGTCAGGATACACTTAGGGCGGCATTTCTTTGCTGTTGCAAAGGGTTCACAGGGAGGTACTTTGGCAAGAATCGCACTGATCCGGCGATGGCTCTTCATTTGAGCAGGTGAACTGGACATTTCCTGCCCGCGATTGAATATGTTCCTCACAGTTTCCTTTTATCAGGTTTCCTTCAAATCAAGTCTCCTTCGAATCGGGCTTCCTTCAAGTCAGGCCGGCTTCTCAAAATCAGATTGGTCAGCCCCCGCCTCCCCAACTTAAACCCAGACCACTTCAAGCGCGTCGCTCGGTCAGGTGATTTCTTACACCACCAGCCTCAGCGGCTTGAAGAAGTGTAGGCGGCCCTGGGGCCCGGAGCTGAGCCGTCGGTTGCGCAACTCCGTCCCCTTGGCCAGGCAGGATGGGATCTATTTGGCTGTGGCTCACACAAAAGGTACCAAAATGGATCCCTGGCAAGTGGAAACATGGATCAACACATGCGTAATGTCGACTTCATAGTAAACGGGGTTCCCCCCCTCCCCCTCAATTGTTGTGTTTCTTTTTCTTTTTTTCCGGGCAAAGTACCGTAATACAAAGCAATTGTACTTGTAGCATTGCTTCTAGCATTAGTATTTGTAGTACTTGTAGTAGTGGCTGTAGTGCGTGTTTATCGTACTGTTTCTAGACTACTTGTCGTACGGCTTTTAGTGTAGTACTTGTTTTACTACTAGTATTCCTAGGGGTCGCTTTGGGGTGTTTATTAATGTGAACCCTTTTACTAATGCGGGTTTGGGGAGCTTGTGTGGGGAACCTCATGTTGGAGTCCAGGGACATCACTTTTGTAAACAGACTTCATTTAAAAGCCGCACTTTCCAGGCATGTATGTTTTTTTGGAGATCTGAGGTCTGCTGGGGAGCCTTTGAAGGTTCCAGTTATATAATTACCTTGCCTGGTGCGCTGCGCACTTGTTGCATGTGTCTCTGTGCCATCAACTTCTGCACGCTACCTGCTTACTTTTGAATCATTTTGGACTTTTTGGCTCCCTGATACAAAGAACTTGTTTGGCTCGCCCCCGCGTTTCGGGGAATTTTATTATTGTGAGTTTGTTGGCTGGTTTATTAATGTTGTGCTTTGGAGGGTCAACTTGCGTTTGGGGGGGTGTTGTATGTTTGCAATTAACTTTTGAATTAGCCCCTTCTTAATTTGGTATTGGGTGAAAAAGCGGGTCCGGTGGCCGAGAATTTTACTAGTACGCCCGCATTTATTAAACTTAGGTTGACATGAACCCTTCTGTTGAATTTTGAGCCACACCCATGTGTTAGAACCCATTCAGGGTCCGCTGAGTAAGGGTCGGAATAATAAGCATGGGATTGCGGGGCACGAAAGTGACATTGAGTCACGAGAAAGACGATGATCATACTCCGTCCCCTTTGTAGTGGCTTCCCTTTGGGGATTATGGATTAGGATTGGCCACAAACCATATTGAATTACCCTGGTTTGGGCACTGCGCCATCTGGAAGTTTCTCGTTGAATGGCTGGTCACATTGTCTGACTTGAGGTGTTTGGTTCGTATCTAAATGGAAGCCAAAAGCAAACCACACATTTTAAGGGACCGCTCGTTTGAGAAATGACCCTGTGACAGGTGAGCCAGAGTCAAAACCCGAGTATGTGAAGGTAAGGGAGAATCCAAGCCCGAAATCGTTTTGAGATGACGCTGGTGTTTGTCTTGTTGTTGGCCTTGGCAACGGAAAGACTTATACTTATAACAGCCAAGAAGGTGCTGGGAGACAACCTGTTTGAACGGAGACGGGCTAGCCCCAACCGTGGCAGAAAGTATCGGTGGGCGTGGGGAACCTTGGGTGTCCCGTTTGTTCGAGGGTGCTCGTTTCGGGGTTGCCTTTTTTCGGGAAAGGACTTGGAAGCCGCACACTTTGGCATTCTGAGGCACAAATGCATCCCAAATAGGTTCCTTTCGGATGCTGCGCTGATTGTCCGTTTGTGCAGGATCAGATGCATTTGTTAGAACCCATTCAGGGTCCGCTGAGTAAGGGTCGGAGAATCAGATAGAATTAGCATGGGATTGTGGGGGGTACGAACGTCGAATTGAGTCATGAGAAGAACGATAATCATGTGAGTAATTATTGAGTCTCTTGGATTCAAACCTCTGGCGAATCGGGGGCAGTTTCCAGTAGAACGATCCATATTGGGTGGATGCCTTTGCAATCCGCACTCGCAGTCAGAATCTGGGCGTTCCTCAAGGTGCTGGGATTGTCTTCCACTCAGTTGGGCAACTTCAATGGGAAGCCGATATTCTTTGCCCTTTCGAGAAGCACCCACAACTCCTCACAAGATCTTACAGGAGCAGGGCCGCCCCAACAGCCAAGGCCACGGCGCGGCGCCTGGCGCCGAGTTCTCATGTGTTGAGACATGTCACATGTCAATTCTTGTTGAAACCGGTTCTCCTTATGGTCTTCCTTTCAAAGGAAACTGCCAGAGTTCCCTCAGGGCAAAAGCAGGCAGCCTTGGTGGTTTGTTTTGGCACGGGTTCGCATGGGGCTCAAGGGCAACGCACCAGCGTTCTAGAAAAAATACGGGTGGAAGAATTGCAAGTTTGGCGAAGACACAACACGATGTAGGCTGCTTGGCTTTTGATTCCAGCAAGCAAACTCCAGCAAACCACAGCAACATGGACACTTGCATTTTGGCGCCCACTGAAAAAAAGCAGTGTGCAGAATCCGCTCAGTTGTCCAAAGCCGGCCTTTTATGACCTTGTGGGTTTTCTTGTTCCATTTTCAGTCCCAAAAGATTAAGGGTCCCTTGGGGCTGAGTCCGTCAAGAAATCCAGCAACCACCCGGACCGAAGGCTGCTGCGGCAGATGTCGCGCCTCGCGGTGCGCAGCGGGGTGCGGGTGTGGAACGCGCTGCTGGGCGCGTGTCGCCGGGAGGAGGACGCAGAGGCGCGATGGGGCAAAGGCTGGGGTCGTGAGTGCCATTGGTCGAGGGGTTGATTCCCAGTTCTTTTCAACCATCGTTCTATTCAAAAACCGGATCCGTTTCCCCAGGGCTTTGGGTGGTTTTTTACAAAGATGAATGCCTGGAAAGAATGGGGAAGGTACCCCTAGGATTGTTTTTTGGAACAGAAGAGGTCATGGGCACCTTTGATCCAGAAGGATGTTCAAAACAGTGGGAGGGTAAACGAGTATGAAAGGTTGCCCCAACTGCCCTGATGATATTAAATGCTTGAATGAAATCAACCTTCTGCTCAGCACCTTTGAAACCCTTTTCGGTGAGTTCCTTGCTTAAAAATAGTCTTCCAGAAGGATTGCAATTCTTTTTCTACCCCATAACCCCTATAGGAATATGACTGGGAAGGGGACCCAAACCAAGATTAGGGATTGCTCTTGAACCCAGCCTATGCAAGTCTGTGTCACAGCCACCGGCCTGCGTGACAGAGAGGACATCTTCTGCCCTCTTCATTTCTAGGTTAGCTGCAAGCGGCTAAGTCAAGTTCCCTCCAATTGGTGGTTTGGATTGGCTTGGTTCCCATGTACCTTCTACAAGTACCAGCGGTTCAATGCTAAAAACCAACGATGCGAACCAATCAAAAGTTACGAGGAAAGAGAAAACGCAGGGAGCTGAAGATTGTCCAAGCTTCAGCACGCTGTGGATAGATGTTGTGGCACACACGCCTGCTTTGTTGTGCGTGGAAGCAAATAAACACCCCCCCCGGGCAAAAGCAACACCATTGGCCACCCCCTCTCCCGTCTACATCCTCCGTGTCTTGGCCATGGCTCCAAAACATGGACATGCGTCGATTCATCAGCTAAGAGGATTCCCACTAGCACATTTGTGGATTCTTTTTTTGTTTCATGCATAAAAGCCAAACCAAACTGTCTTTAACGAACACAACTTGTATATTTACATATCTATATATACATTTGTTCATTGACCAAAGAAGACTCGGTTCCCTTGCCACCTTTCTTTCAGCGCCAGGTTCCCGGAGAGTGGCAGGCTGGCCTCTCCTTCCTTGCGGGGCCGCTCAGGCTTTGAAATACATCTTGCTCGGGCAACTCTCAAGTTGGTTGGTTTGTTTTTTTGAGTAAGAAAATCCAAGGATGCCCTCACAACAAGACACGCCCTGATTTCCAGCGCTTCACTTTGGCGGCTGTTTGCTGCCCCTTCATGCTTGAGCTTCGGGAAATCCGACTCAAACAAGTTTGTTATTGGGGGCAGAAGTCACCAATGTCAGGGAGTCCACGAGATTCAGTCGCACGGGCTTAACACGGGTTGAGCCCATCAACCCACTGAGGGTGGTTGGGATGGTAACAGGGCCTGCCCAAGAGAGCGCGTGGTTGTGGAAAACTGGATTTCAGGGTCTCTCCCAGGGAATTCGCCTAAAAGGTTATAACCCTGAAGATGGGCATCCCCGAGGTTCTTAGTATACAGATGGGCATCCCCCCCTAGTATAAAGATGGGAATCCCCGTGCATGTCAGCGACTTCCTGCAGCCAGAGGTTTCGGCACTTGCGCTCCGTCGCCCCCTTCGTCGGGCCCAGGAGAGCTTGCGCCAGCGCGCGCTGCAGCTGAGCGAGACCAGCCGCCTGTGGCCCGAGCTCTTCGCACCAACCGAGGGTCAGGAAGGTGGATTTTTGGACATCACCTGAACGAGTGGGGCCAGGTTCCCTAGACAGCTGTAGGGCCCGTTGGAAGTGAGTTTCCTTTCGGTGGTTTGAAGGGGATGTATGAGTCGGTTCAAGCGGTTTCCCTGTGAACGGCAGCCAAAGGCAGTCTAGAGTCCAAACGAGCTTGGGTCCACCTCCATGTGAATGCTTCTTTCTTACAACCAGCTCCTTCTGGTGGTTTGGCCGGACTGGCAAGACAGGATATTATCATCCAGGGATGGGCTTGGTGCGCACCAACCAAGCTGAAAATACCCTGAGAACTGTCGCCACTAGCCAGATCTGGCCACAGCCCCCTAGCATCCGGAGTCCGCCGAAAAGGCAGCTCAGGGTGCCCACTATCCCGAAGTTGTGCTGAATAGCGGGATCCTGTTGCAACCCTCAAATTTGTGATGCCACCTTAGAGCACGTTTCGAGCTTTGTGAAAAGCAAGCAGTCACTCTTGGCGGGAGGCTGATTTCAAGCATTCAGTGAATTTGCTGGCCGCTGGAGTCTTGGCATTTCCCGAGGCAGCCTTCGGCTTTGCAGCCTGGAGGAAAGCGCTCAGGTGCAGGGGTATGGGAGAGGCGTCTTCAGAGTTGGAGTTGTTCTGGTGATGCAAATTGAGCGGCATGCTATGCTCGAAATGATTACTCTTGTTCTTTTTGTTTGGAGGCTCTTAACAGGAATATTTGTACGAATGCGTGCTTTTTGATGTCCCTTTTTGTTGGGCGAGCTTAGAGGTCTTATCCTTTTTGGAGTCCCTCCATTTTCCCGGGTGCTTTAAACACGGCAAACAACATCTTCCCTTTTGTGGAAGCCACTAGGATGTGGATAAATTCATAGATACCTCATGATACCTCACGTTGCCCACCCGGTGGTGTCCCTGTACACCAACCTCGAAGGGCCCCTCAAAAAGAAACACACACACACACACTCACAGAGACAAACAAGAAACCATGCTGAGGGGAAGGGGCCACCGTGCCAGGAAAACAACAAAAAGGCACAAGTCCCCAGCGGAGGGCAAATTCCAAAGAAGATCCACATCAGGACCTCCCAACCTCTTGCGGCTTTTGCCAGGTGCCGGAGCTCGCGCCAGCCCGGCGGGCTTGGAGCCGGGGGAATTAACTGCCTGTGTCTTTCTTCGTTTTTCGCCCGGCGCTGGTGGTGATAAATGGACCCTGGCACCCAGAAGTGGTCTTTCTGGCTTTGCCGCATGGATGCCGCCCGTTTTTTAGCTTGGTTAGAATCATGTGCGGGGGGGGGACATGAGTTAACTATGATGTACATCACGGAAGATAGCTGGAGCCCTCTTGCTTCAGCAAGTAATGGAGCCGGTAAATCTCACAACTCTGTCTTTTGCGGGTCCCACAACTCTGTCGACTCCTATCTGGACCGCCCGCAAGGCTTCCCTGGCTTCTGCCTGCTCGCTCCGTTCTCTCAGCTCTTCTGCCCGCTCTTCGACCCAGCTCTTCGCTCCGCGCCAGCTCTTCTGCCCTCTTCTCTCCGTGCTTCGCCGCTCTTTCCTCCTTTCTGTTCCGCGCTCTAAAAACTCATGCGCTCTGATTGCACTCTGCCGTGTTGCATTTGAGTGTCTTTTGCCTGTTGTTCGTTCTGCTCGCGAAGTTCCTCCTCTGTCAACCCCTGCAAGTGAGATCAAGTGAGCCGGCGTCGTTCCAGCAGAATCATGTGACCAGGGCTCTTTGGCCAGGCACCTTTGGCGCTCCACGCTGGCCCTCTTCTGGGCGGCTCCGACACCGGCGCAGGCGCCGGAGAGGCGGGGCCCTTTCGGCGGCGACGGGTGGGCGTGGCGCTTGCAAACCAGGCAGTTGGGCAGCCATTGCCTTCTTGGCGAATTTTGGCTGGACCCTTTGAAAGGCCACTGCTGACTTTTTGTGGACATTTACGTTTGGCCTGCTGAATGCGTTTGGCATTGTTTCCATTTTTGGCAGCTTTTCACCTGGACCTTTTTTGCCCCTGCTCACAGTTTGTGATTTTGGCATTGTTGGGCCTCTTTGTTTGCCGGAGCGGGTCATTTGCTGAGAACTTGTTGCTATGGACCTCTTGCTGTCAAGAAGTGGTTAGGGCCATGTCTGGCACGGGAAAGCCGCATTGTGGCGGAGTCAGACGTTTTTCAAACGAATCCAAAGGACAACCACAATTTGTTGGGGTTCCGAGCGACACTGTGTGACAAGGGCCTCGGGACCCCACACAAATCTTGGCGACAGGGGGCAGTGGGGTTTGAGGAAGTCCGTGGGGGCGGCCTTGCAAGAGTTCACAGAAGGGCTGTCATCGCACGAAGCCCGATCTGTTGTCAAATTCCACTTGGATACGCTTGCGTGTGTCCGGCCGTGATTCAAAAGGCAGGACCCCTTGAGGGTGGGTTTTCCTTTCGGTTTTCCCCGAAAAACCAGCCAAACAGCGCCCTCACTCACTGAGCTCATGAACTTTCAACTTTTTGGGAGGACCGTTTTCGTGGCAAACAAAACAAAACATGGACCTTTTTTTGTTTGGCCCATGCACTCAGGAAGTGAGGGCGACCCCTATTTTTGAGAGGCACCCGAATACGGACATCCCCTAGGAGCGCCTCGTTTGCGTAGGCTTGCTTCGGGGGCCCTCCTCGGCAGCCTGGCGCGGGCCGAGCAGTGGGTAGGGAGCCCAGTGGCTCAGGTCTGTGGGCTTCGTTTTTTGTTCCTTCTTCTTCTTCTTTTTTCTCTTTTCTTTTGTTTTCTTTGTTTTTTCCTCTCCTGTTTTTTCTCCCAGAAAGGGGGCCCCATTTTCTGGCAGGTCACTGGGCAAGTGACTAGCACGTCGACATTTTCCCTCTTCATTTGCGGGGCAGCAGACAGGTGTGATGAACTGCGTCTTTGGGACATGGAATCGCGGTGCCAACGGGGAAAGTGATTCGCATGTCGAATGTGACCTGGCAATGGCCCTGTTGCTTGAGACCAATTTGGCCGCCCACAAGGCATCTCTTGCGACTTGCTCGTTTGATGGGGACCGGTACAAAGGGGCAAGTACAAGGAACGTAAAGGCACACCTCCAGGTCGGAATCTTTGGTAGGAGAACCATAGTGGCTCTGCGCAGATAAGGTTCACCGAACAGACGCATGCGCAATGGCAGTTTGCTTTCACTGGCGGCCTGGCACATTTGCCTCATGTCCCCACCGGTGCTATTCTTTGCATTTTCTGGCTGCGGCCCGGGCCCTTGCTGAGGGCGGGGCTCTTGAGATGCTGGATGCCATGGCCAGCCAGGCCTGGAACAAAGAACAATTACTGGAGTCTCATTGTGATCTTACCTCCTAAGGTTCACAAAGCATGCGCCAGAATCAAAGAACGTTTTCGGTTTTCGGGGGCAAAAGCTGTGGTAGAAAAGGAAGACCGCTGATGTGTTTGCGGACTCCTTGGAATGTTACTTGGTTGGCTTGTCGGTTTCCTTTTGGCGAGTGAGGCCGCAAGCGGCCTCGCCTGGTTGCAAGTGAGCTTCGGATGAAAACCGCATCCCAAAATGCGATGGAAAAAGCCAGGTTTGTTTGCGTTGGGCTTGAGCTTCGGGTGCCGCTTCCAACTGTGCCCCGTACCCCCTTGCCTCAGTGCCAGTGCCACAGGACCTACATATTGGATTCCAAGTGTCGGCGGCGATGCCATGCTCATAGATGGGAGCAACTCCCATGACTGTGTTTCAACTCTTTCTCCAGGGGCCCTACTCTTCTTGGGCTTAAGAAGGACTTGGGTTGTTAGGGTCCCTTTTTGGCGGTGCATCTTCCCTGATCGTTTGGCTCAGGGAAGTCGTGAAGTTTTGATCAGTGACCCTTTGGACTCCTGCCCACTCACATGGAACCCACCGAGGGTCCACGTTCAATGAAATTGTCTAGTCAGGGATAGGTTCCATTTTAGTGGACAGGAGGGTATATCCACCAAGTTTTGGAGGGGTTCCACCGTTGAATTCTCAGCATTGTCACAGCATCGTCTTGCGTGCTTCTTCAGGCAGGGGGCTCTGTCGCGGACGAGGTGCGCCGATGCATGGATATGTGATATGCCTGCGAAGTAAAGACTCAGATTAGCTGGCCTAATTTTGGTTCAATTGAAAGCACGAGAAACTTCCAGCTTGCTTCATTTTGCTGAAGGATCAACCAGACTCCATTGAGTGCATTGCCCAGCTTTGCGGGGATTCCCACTGTCCCTTGTGTTTGAAGAAACGCCCAATTTCTTAGCTCTTCTGGACCAAGGAGATGCGCTATGCGTCCTGATCAGACCAGGTCCACTACGACTTGGCCATTGCTGCCTGTGCAGGGGCCCGAGAAATCCGCGAAACGCCCCTGCAAATGCATACCTACACATCCGCCGAAGACTTGGCATGAGTGTTTGCTTGGGATTCTGTCAGGCCAAATGCTCGTCAGCTCTCGCCTTACGTTTTCGGTGGTTTACCTTCCAACAAAAAAGTCTGAGAGTCACTTTAAGATTCTGTGCAACTAGAATCTAATGAGTGTGAAGCATGTCCTGACCAGCTGCAGATTTCCGAACACAAACTAGTGATATCTAGTGATGAGATCCATCTCCTAGTGTCTTAGGGTGGTTGGCCGCTTTTGGCCATGGGTCCAAAAGTGTCCAGCTACCACAGCAGCCAGGCCCATCTCTCGACCTCGAGCCGGGTGCCAAAGCCTCAGAGCCCCAAACGGCTCACCGGTTCGGTGAAGGTCTGGTAGCATCTTAGGGCATGGGTCAAAGTTAAGCCACCAGGAAAAGACCGCAGGTTTTAGCCCATGTTTCCATTTACCATGGTTCCATTTTGGGGACTTGTTTTTGACCCACAGCCATCTCTGCCCTCAGCTAGAAGCGGTAGTGGTAAAACAGTAAGGTAAAACATGTTTAGCCAACAGGTGCTTTAACATTGACCAAGGGTTCCTTTTGGCTTCCGGTATTGCGTCCGGGGCCCAAACTTGGAATTCCAAGGCAATCTTCTAACCTTCCCTACATTGTGGTTGGCTTGGCCGACCCTGGCGGTCAAGTTCAATTCCCAAGCAGAGGGCTGTGGGAAATGTACCCGTGTCAACACGCCAGGAGATGGTCTCCCCCAGTCTGCCCGGAATCACACTCAATGTTTGTTCATTGGGTGTTTTCAGGTTCTCAAACAGCAAAACATGACACAGTGTGCTTCACATTCTTGTTGGCCAAAAGCAGCAGTCTCTCTCCCTCCTGAGTGCGCGAGAAAAATTAAGCTTATGTTCGCCGGCCCCTCCAGAAGGGGCAGCAGCACCTCATGAGGCTTGGTGAAGTCCTTATCTTTGAGGATTTGTTGATTTCTCCGTTTGAGTATGTTTCACAAGACCGCGGCCGCCAAAATGGTGGTTTCCTTTTGGTCGCCCTTAGGATGAAAAGGGTACCCTCCAAAAGCACACCCAATTGCCCCGCCAAAGCCATCGCCAGGCGGCAACTCCTCTCGGATGTGCGTGCGGGCCTTGGAGAGCGGCACTGGGCGAAAGCTGGCAGGCCTATATGTATGATATATATATATATATGTATATGTATATATCGACTCCTTTCGGCGTAGTTTCCCTGGCTGTTGCGTCTGCATGTTTGGTCATTTGGTCAGTTTCGAAGTGTCAAAGCAAGCAGTTTTTGGATGTCTTCAAGGAACTCTGACCACCACGGGGGCTGACACGTGCAGCTATGGTACTGGCCAAGGCGAGAAGCTGCTGGCGCAACACGCGGTCCGCGACACCGCAAGTCGCGCAACAAAAGGTTTGTGTCTGTGTGTGTTGCTGTTGAGGCCTCTTTTTTGGGGTCCCCGTGTTTTGTCAGGCTGAAGGTTTGAGATTGAAAGCCTGACAGTTGCAGTTATATGGGTGCTTTCCACTCTAAGGGAAACATGGTACCTGAATATGAGCAAAGTTGTAGCGTCCTCACAATTGGGTTCGGCGTGCGATCTGGAACGTGATGAAGCATGTGAAATTGCAGTTCCCCCAGATTGAACGTACCCACCATGGGGGGTCCCGTGTTCTTTTGAAAGATTGCTGGTGCTTTTGAAAAGGGAGCTTGACACTGATCATGCCAATTATGCCTGTTTCTCAACCAAGCGGGCCTTTCTTCGTCCCTAATGTGGCAGCCACACGTTTGGCACATCCCTGTTCTTGGCCAGGGTCGGTTATTCCTGGCCAAATCCATCCCGGCATTCATGGGACAAGGTGCATTCAAGCTCAGCCTGCAAAGCGTGCGCACTGGTACCAGCAGCATCCTGTTTTGCCTAGAATGCTTGATCAGGATACGCAAAATAGGTGGGTTGGCTTGGTGGTTTGGGGAGTTGAACCTGCTTCTTGCAGAGGGTAGCCCAAATCACCGATTAGAGGGAAGCTGATTTGAGACAGTCCAAAAACCAAAAAGCAGCTTGTCTTTTCAGGCCCTTTGGAGAGGTGTGGTGAAGCGCCTGTTGAAGAATTGCCATTGGTTTTGTCGTTTTGCCCAGTTGCTCATTCACCCGGCATATCATTTCTGTGCAGAGCTCGTGGGTCAGCTGTCAGCATGGTGAGGCACCTGCCGCCTTTCCGCAGCCGCATGAATGGCTCGACTCGGGGCCATTCAACTGTTGGCTTCCAAATGCAATGTCCATGATTCTCGCTGGCGGCCCTAGATGCCAGGGGTAGGGAACTATTCGGAAGCCACCTCTGAACAGGGACACCCCCTCCTGCCACTAGATTAGTTGGGTGGAGGCTGAACGGGTAAAGGTCCAGCTTGTCAAGATGCCATTAAACTCACTCAACCATGATGGCAACTTTGTTAGGTCGTTACTCAAAAGCAAGCAGCAAGGAAAGGAAACTTGCATCGCCAGCCAATTGGGGTAAACATTCCTGGGTTGGTACAATGTCAAAGGGGCTGCCTTCAAAAACCTCTAAAAACATGTTTTTGGTACGCACGGTTCAATCTGCAGTCAAAGGATGTATCGAACAGCAAGCGTCATCGAGCCCTATAAAATGGCTCTAAGGCATCTACAGAACGACTCATTTTGACCCGGACATTGCGACCTTCAAAAGCTGAAAGTAGTCAAAGGACAGGAATGTGGGCCCATTCTCGTGCGTGCCCCAATATAAGTTATACCTGACCTTCCGAATTTTAAGACAACCGTTCGGGCATGGTTTGTCTTGGGGTCATTCCAACTCATTCCCTGCGTATCGCACCATCAAGTCAATCACCTCCAAACACCCCCCCCAACCAACCCCCCCTTGGGAAAGACAAACTCGATGCCTTGTCTATATCTATTTTGGGGTTACTGGGTTACCCCATTTTTGAGCCACACCCTCCATCTTTCTGAACAGCGCGACATGGCGCTCCCGTCCGAGGTGTTCTTGGCGCTCCGCGGCGCTGGAGCCTGAACGTGGGGTGGGGCTGCGGGAAAATGGACCAAGGGGAGTAAGGGGTGGGGCTATGGCTGATGTAATGCTTGAGGAGTTATTAAGGGCGTATCCTTGGCTTGTCCTGGGTATTTTCCCGGCTGCTTGTACCATGTTGCCTTGGCGTCGCCGTTCGATGGCAGCAGTGCAGGGAGTTGCTAGAACGGAGCCATGCCATTGTGCAGTATTGTGCAGTATGTTTGCCGCATTTTGGGCATGTAGCTTGCATGCTGTTTTAGCATCTTTTCCGCAAAGGATGGGGTGCCGTCATCCGGCACGTGTTTGATTCTTTGGGGGACGCCCGTTTCTCTAAAAGTATGTATGTATATATATATATGTATGTATATGTATGTATGTATGTATCTATTTCCCGCCCGTAATTAGGATTCAGAAGTGACAGAGTGGCTCTCAAAAGATGAAATTATGAAAGAAAATGAAAAACTTAAAATTATCGCAAAACAAAATGAATATCTGTCTTCTCATTCGCTCTTGCCGGATCACAGGCTCAGCTTGACCCCCTTCCATTCCTATATTCAGCTTGCAGGCTCCGGCAGCCTACCGGGCCCATCATTGCCCTGTGAATGGTGGTGTCAAGGAGGCAACCGCCAAATGTAATTTTGAGAGCCCCTCAAGCTACAACCGCTTTAAGGGACCCAGTAGAGATAGCGTATGCTGAGGTGATTGCCGTTGATGGCCGCAATGCCATCGTGAGGCAAGGCGGCCAGCGCTTTGTGAGGTCGCTGGAGCAACAAAGAGCAAAAACAAAAAACAACGTTCGGAACAAGCGTTGGGATCGAATGGCACTCTGCGTGCGCGGAAAGAGCATCCCCATGTTTTTTTCTCCTCAGACTAGCGCCAATTCAAGGTGAGTTTCTGTGGATAGGGTGGTGTTTGAAGGGGAAATGCGATGGACACCCTCCGTTTTGCAAGTAGGGGGACAGGGCAGACCTTGTCGTTGACCGCAATTTGCCATGGTTGTGTGGTCGGAAGTGGCTTGTAACGATTCAAAGGGAGTTTCCTTTTGGCGAGGGTGCTGAAAGAAGAAATATAGGGACCCTCGTGAACTGTCAACCAGCGGTGGTCAGCCGGCAGGCGCCATGCAGCACTGCTGGAGTTGGAGGATGCGTTTCGGCCTGAGCTGGGCGTTCGCGCCGGCTCCTGGAACCTTTGGCATACTTTTGCGTTTTAAGGTTCGCTGGAATACGTTGCCGAGCCTCATCATGGCATGCATATTCGGGCAACAGCCGAGGTAGAGGAGGAACCTGGTTCCTTTTCTCTTTTTTGTTCTTCTCTGGGGGGGTCCTCTTTTTCGAACTCCCCGCTCCTTTTCCAAGGCAAGTTTGATAGAGCGCCGTCTTCGGGCTGACTGATCATAGTTTATCCCAGAATCGGACCGACTGGACTGTCGTGCTTGAAAGATCTCAAAGAAACCTGGCTTCGTGACGTTGTAGGTCGAGCAGAATAATGCAACTCCTGATCGCAACACAGCCGCCGAATGCAAAGGCGGAACGTGTGACTCAACCTGCCCAAGTTTCTCATAAAGTGCGCGTGGGATGAAACACAATGGGTGAGCATGTCCCACGCTCATTCTCAGGGTTGTTCCTGTTGAACTCCCCTGCTCCAATACCACCCTGTTTTCAGGGTGTATCATGCTAACTCCTGACAAAAACATGTTGACTTTACCGCGGAAAGCAGTGTGTTGTTTTCCGAAGCATGCCTTAAATCAATGGATATTTGGCCTAGGTGTTGTTCATTCTCTTGTTCTGCTTCTTTGCTTTGGAGCTGTTTGCTTGGGTTTGGGTGTTTGGCAAGGCTGGGAAGTGCAGCCTGAGACAATTGCCAGGTTGGGGTGCTTTCTTTGGGGCTTGTGAATTGCGCGCGCCTTGCCCCTTGTTTTTTGAGGGAGGGTATCCTTGGAGTGGTTTTAAAGGAAACAGCTACCATGTTGGAGTCTCCAATTTAACAGAACCGCTCTC